AAGGAGGGGCCCCCTTTGCCTCTGGATGGAGAATCCTGCCATTCCCCCATCCCTTGAACCCCCATGTCATGGAATCCTGGAATGGGTTGGGTTGGAAGGGACCTTAAAGCCCATCCAGTCCCACCCCCTGCCATGGGCAGGGACACCTCCCACTGTCCCAGGTTGCTCCAACCTGGCCTTGGACACTTCCAGGGATGGGGCAGCCACAGCTTCTCTGGGCAACCTGTACCAGTCCCTCCCCACCCTCCCAGCCCAGAATTCCTTCCCAATATGCAACCTAAACCTGTCCTACTCCAATTTAAAGCAATTCCCCCTGTCCTGTCCCTCCAACCCTTGTCCCCAGTCCCTCTCCAGCTCTCCTGGAGCCCCTTTAGGCCCTGCAAGGGGCTCTCAGCTCTCCCTGGATCCTTCTCTTCTCCAGGTGAACCCCCCAGCTCTCCCAGCCTGGCTCCAGAGCAGAGGGGCTCCAGCCCTGGAGCATCTCTGTGGCCTCCTCTGGATTTGCTCCAGCAGCTCCACATCCTTCTGTTGTTCCCCAGAGCTGGACACAGGGTTGTGCCGTTGGCTGCCCTGCAGGGACATTTTGCTGGCACCTCTGTCCCCAAAGCTCTTTGCACCAGTGACCAGCACAGCACCACTGCTGGGGGGTGGCTGGGAACCCAGCTGGGAAGGGGTCTCCTATCTGGAAAATGGGATGGGGGCTTTGGCCAGGCAGGAATGAGCACTGGGCTCGAGGCTGAGAGTCCCCCCTGAGGCCTCTCCCCCCCAGCCCCTCCCTGTGGCAGCTTTACAAGCTCGTTGCCTGTTTAGCAAACATTGATTTCTCGCCTTGTTCTCTCTGCTGTGCTGACAACGCCTGATGTTTCTCTGACGGTTTGTTATTTATCAACTGCAGATTAGAAAGCGTTTAATCACGGGACAGACAGTCCCCCCTCGGCAGCCCCGCTGTGCTAACCATGCTCCTGGTTAATCCCCACCGTTGGCTTCAGCGGGGTTTTATCTCAGTCCTCCCCAGAAATGTTTGTCTTGGACTCTGCTTGTATTGATCCGTGTCCTGATAACACCTCACCTGGCTTTGACAACACCTGAAGGAGGGAGAGAGGGCTCCAGGGCTTGCAGGTCTCCAAGTTCCTGCAGGATTTATGGAAACTGGCAGAGAGGGAAGGTTTGTGTCCCATGAGCCACAGGAGAATCCACTCTGGGGAGCTGGGGTGTCATTGCATCTTCAGTGAGTGACTGGCCTGCGGGGCTGGGGGGTTCCACACCACACAGCCCTCCCAGAGCTGCTCCCAAGGTTATCTTGCCCTCCTGGGAATTTTGGTGGCCAGGTTGGGACGTGCCAGTGCTGAGCGTGACACGGTCCTGCTGCTCCAGTCACACAAACTGGTGTCCAGTGGCCTTACTGGGGTGGACAAAGTGCTTGTTTGTGTTTCCTTCTCGGTTTTATTTCAGTTTTCTTTTCTCTGGCAAGTTGAAGAGATGCTCCTTTGGGGTCAAAAACAGAGACTGATGTTTGAGGGGAAAATACGCCCAGAGTTCAGTGCTTTGACTGTGTGAAAGACTGTTCCTGTTGGCTTTGTCTTCCTGGCCACACCAAGGGTGACTTAAAATGAAAGACAGTAGGGTTAGATGGGATATTGGGAAGGGATTTTTGGCTGTGAAGGTGGGGAGGCCCTGGCACAGGTTGCCCAGAGAAGCTGTGGCTGCCCCATCCCTGGGAGTGTCCAAGGCCTGATTGGAGCAACTTGGGACAGTGGAAGGTGTCCCTGCTATAGGAAGGTGATCCCATCTGGATCACCTTCGTCTGGTTCTTCATCTGGAAGGCCCTGAGGGCTTTCCCCATCGAGTCATGGTGGGCATCTTGTGCCCTGCTGATGAACTGAGTGCCCTGGGGGTATGATGAGTTCAGTCCTTCATAAAAAAGTAAGGAAATGTTCATTCCCTGCCTGTGGCTGGAGGATAGGGAGGAAGGGATGGGCTGATCAGTCCAGGTCATTCCTGTTTCGTGTGAGCCCCCCAAAGAGGCTGGAGCTGCCCCAGGCAGGGATGCAGCCAGGACCTGCTTGGGATGGAAAAGGGGGCTGCAGAGCCCATGTCCATGGATCTGGGTGAGGATGCAGAGCCCCAGTGTCCATGGATCTGGGTGAGGATGCAGAGCCCCCGTGTCCACCGATCTGGGTGAGGATGCAGAGCTCCTGTGTCTGTGGATCTGGGTGAGGATGCAGACCCCAGTGTCCATGGATCTAGGTGAGGCTGCAGAGCCCCAGTGTCCGTGGATCTGGATGAGGATGCAGAGCCCCTGTGTCCATGGGGCTCCCTGCCCCTTTGCCCTCAGTCCTTCCTCTGTGTCTGCACTCTCCAAGGCCAGGCTGGACTGCAGACAGCTGCCAGAGCAGAGGGTTTGGTGGTCTCCTGGTGAGGTTGACCCCAGCAGGAGGATCCAGCTGCTGCAGGCTCAGGATTCCCTGTGAAGGAGCTTGGCTGAAGGATGCAGGTGCTCCTGAAGCTGGTTCTTTCAGCTGATGGGGGTGATGGGACACAGCTTTCAAGCCCAAGCCTCAGGAGAGTTCATGTTTAAGCATCTCCTCGTGCTTCCATGGGCACACGGAGCCCAGCAGCTCTCCAGGGGTGGCAGTTCTCAGCATTCCCAGCCTGGCATCTCTCCTCTCAATGCCATGGGGCTCTGGGGTCTGTTGTGGCTTTGCAAGGAACATCCTCCATTTGGATGCAGCTCCCAGAACGTGGACACCTCAAAAATGAGTCCACTGAGTTGGTTTTGCTGGTTTTCTGTGGGACAGAGGGAAGGCTGTGCTGGTTCTGAGCCCTTGCTGGTCTCATGACCAGCCTGATGATGTGTGAGTGGCCCCAAACCGGGAGGGGAGAGGAGCTTTACCACCTGCTGGACTGGAGGAATGGGAGAGCAGATGGAACCAAGGGGCTGTGGAGAAGATGGACACACTGGAAGTGAGCAGGAGAAGGATGTGGAGGGAGAATGGGACACAGGCAGAACCCTCAGAAGGCTGATAAATACTGGTTTGGGATTTGGATAAAACTCTTCCCCTCTACTTGGTGCCGGAGGACTGTGGCCTGTTTGGAGCACTGACCTTGGGGAAAGGATCTGGGTCTGGAGGAGGGATTTGGGAAGAGTCCTTGGCCCTCTGTGAAAATCTGGGGGGACTGAGGCAGGAGAGGAGAGGCTGTGTATGCACAACGTTTACTGTTGGCATACAGGGAATGCTAAAGCAGATGTAAATCCTGGCAAAGTCTTTCCACCTTGGAAAGAAGCACAGGAACAGGCCAGCTGAGGGCAAATGGCAGAGAAGGTCCCTGGGGAGGTGGGATTCCCTCAAGTCCTCTGTGTGTGGGAGCCTGGCAGCGGTGTGATGTGAGAACATCACCTTGCAGGGGCTGGGTTGAGTTCATGGAGCTGTCCCACTGCTGCTGTCCCAGCCCCTCGTGGTGGGTGCCCACCCTGGGGGGTGTTGGGGTTCATCACAGCCCCTGCTCTGCACCAAAAAACCCTCCTGCATGGCTTGGGGAGTGAGTGTTGGGGCTCAGCCCTTGCTGTCTGCTCCAGGGGCTTCCAGCCCATTCCCAGCACACAGCAGGAACGTTCCTGCCTGCCCAGCAGGGAACTGGGAGGACAGACTGGTTTCACTGGGCTGGATGTCTCCGAAGGTCTTTGCTCTGTGTGCCTCAAAGTCTCCTCTGCAGAGCTCTGTGCTTCTCAGCTGGCTTTGCTTTCCCTGTGAGAAGCCAAAGAGGCTTCACTGTTCCTCCTTGGGCAAGTCCCAACCCATGGTGGGCAACCATCAACCTGTGGTGGGCAACCATCAGCTGCTTGCATGGGGTGTGGAGTGGGAGGAGACGGCGGGCACAGGGTGGGCAGGCTGTGGGGGCTGTGGGGGCTGTGGGGGCTGTGGGGGGCAATGTCCTCCATGGCCAGGGGTGTCTGGGGGGGCCTGCAGGGGTGGACACCCCACTAACCCCGTGCTGTGTCCCACAGCTGCACCCCATGAGGATGGACCAGCGGATGCCACCACTCATTCTGGAGGTGAGTCACTTCCCTCATTCCTCCCCCTGCATCCTCCTGCTCCCCTTGGTGAGGGACCACTGAGGTCCCCTGGAGCTGGGACATCCCCCCACCCACCCAGATCCACTGTGAAGACAAGGTGGCACCTCCACTCCCTCCTTCTGCTCCCACCACCAAGCAGGGCACGTCCCTCCAACTCTGCCAGTCCCCAGGCACCTGTGTGTCCTTCATGGCTCCAGTTAATCCCTGAACTGGATCCCAGGGGCTGTGACAGGAGCCCTGAGTGACAGCCTGAGGCACCTGAATTCAGGGGGATCCCACACAGGCATGTCTGCACTGGGTCATCCCTGCTGTGCCCACCCTGGGCCGAGGACTTCACGGACTCATGGAATTGTTTAATTTGGAGAAGCTCTCCAAGACCATCAGGTCCAGCAGTGCCAAAGCCATCACTGCCCCATGTCCCCAGGTGCCACATCCACAGGGCTGTTAAATTCTTCCAGGGATGGATGGGGACTCCACCCTTCCCCCGGGCAGCTGTGCCAGGGCTGGACAGCCCTTTCCATGAAGGAATTTTTTCCTAATATCCAATCTAAGCCCACCCTGGCACAGCTGGAGGCTGTTCCCTCTCCTCCTGTCCCTTGTTCCCTGGGAGCAGAGCCCGACCCCCCCTGGCTCCCCCCTCCTGTCAGGGGGTTGCAGAGCCAGAAGGTCCCCCCTGAGCCTCCTTCTCTCCAGGCTGAGCCCCCCCAGCTCCCTCAGCCACCCTGGTTTTGGATGGAGCTCTGCTTGGGAATTGCTTTGGGGTCTGAAGCGCCACCCCCTCGCTGAGCAGTGCCAGGGGGTCTGTGGTTACCACGTGTTTCTGGGCCACAAACAAGAAGTGCCCGTTTCTCCCTGTTGGAAGGATGCTGGAACTCTGGGACACAGTGGAGCATTCCATGGGACAATTCCATTGTTGTCCAGGTCCTGCACACACACACACAGCAGGGGGGTTGCAGCCACAGGCAGTCCCCACTGGTGTCCTCCCACGTGGTGACACCCCACTGCTGCCCCTCAACACCCTCCTGGGAAGCCTGAAGGAAAGAAAGGGAATTGGGTTTTAGTGGAAAAATAGGGAGAAGACTGTGCTCTGCAGGTAGGGGGGTTGTGGGAGAAAGGGATGTTGGGTGACACCGAAGGGGGGGGCAGGCAGAGGGCAGGGGGTCTCCAGCTGAGGATGCACCTCTGGCATCTGAAATTAGGGCCCTCCACGGAACCAGTTAGTTTGGGAAGGACCTCTAAGATCCACACCTTTCCACCTTTATCCGCCTGCCTGGTCACCTGCCCCACTGGAGGAGTGGGGAGGAGACCTTCCCTTGGGAACTGGAGGTGAGAAAGTGAAATGCCAGAGATAAGAGAAGTGTGGAAGTAAAAGGCATCCAGCACCTTCCCTGCTGGAGTGGCCAGCGGGGCCCTTCACTGCTCAGGTATGTGTGGCATCCGGAGCCACTGCGACTGCCTGGAGCTGACTCCCGAGGGAACCCGTGCCAGTCTGGGTGCCAGGAGCACCCAGGGCTCAGCTCCAAAGCTTTGGAGTGGTTCTCCCTAGGGCAGGAACCCAGGCTGGACCCTGGGAGGAAATCAGGGCTTTGGAGCCCTCTGGGAGGATGGAGGTGAAGGGTCTCAGAGTCCCTTCCCTGCCTCCCGCTGATGCCTTTGGGAAAAAAGGGAGGGCAGGGGCTGATCTCTGGTGACAGGACCCAGGAACAGCTGGAGCTGTGCCAGGGCAGGCTCAGGTTGGATCTCAGGAAAAGGTTCTTCCCCCAGAGGGTGGTCGGGCACTGAACAGGCTCCCCAGGGCAGTGGGCACAGCCCCAAGGCTGCCAGAGCTCCAGGAGGGTTTGGACACCGCTCTGAGGGACAGGGTGGGATTGTTGGGGTGTCTGTGCAGGGCCAGGAGTTGGACTGGATGATCATGGTGGATCCCTTGCATCTCAGGATATTCCATGGTTCTGTGAGTGGCTTTAGGTTCCTCCTGAGTGAGAGTTCCCTCTCCGGAGCACGTGAGGGGGTTGTTTGAGCTTCCTTTAACAAGGGACTTTTCAGGGCCTGATAAGGATGGACATGTTATGGTTGGACGATGATCTTAGAGGTCTTTTCCCACCATAAGGATTCCAGGATTCCATAGGATTCCCAGTGCAGTGGGCACACGCCCCAGTCCCAGTCTGGTGTACTCTGTTCTGGGGCAGTGTAGCCCTTCCCAGCCTGGCTCCCCTGAGCTCCTGTCCCTGGAGAAGAGGCTGTACTTGTGGAGAAGAGGCTGTGTCTGTGGAGAGGAGGTGTATCTGTGGAGAGGAGGGTGTATTTCTGGACAGGAGGCTGTATTTGTGGAGAGGAGGTGTATTTGTGGAGAGGAGGTGTATTTGTAGAGAGGAGGGTGTATTTGTGGAGAAGAGGCTTTATTTGTGGAGAGAAGGCTGTATTAGTGGAGCAGAGGCTGTATTTCTGGAGAAGAGGCTGTATTAGTGGAGCAGAGGCTGTATTTGCGGAGAAGAGGCTGTATTAGTGGAGCAGAGGCTGTATTTGTGCCCGTCCCTGTGCCTGGGGAGGTGCCAGCTCAGCCAAGTGCCTCCAGTTGTGCTCCCGGAGGGGCAAAGGCCCTTGGAATGAGCTGGATCCCGGGTGATACGTTTTGCTGGAAAGGACAAGGAAGTCTCTTGGCCCCCCTCCAGCTTTGTTATGAGCAGTGGAGTTGCAGCAGGGCTGACTTTGGCCCCTGGCACTCTGGTGACATAGTTCAGGGCTGTACAACCCTGGGCAGGGCGTGGGCTGAGATCAGCTCGTGCTCCTGGAGTGCACTGAGGGCTCTGCCAGGGAAACCTGGCGGCTCTGCCAGCTCCTCTACATATGAATGAGTCTCCGAGGGCTTTGCAAGGAGCTTGACACATGGATAACCACATAATTAAAGGCTGGAGCTTTGCAGAAGAGCATTAGAGCTGGTATCTGTAACCACAAAGAGCAGAACTTGAGTCATCCAACGCCAGGGGATGAATTTCCTAGAGGATTGCTCCATCAGGTTGCTGAGTTATTGGGCCTGGATCCAGTGGGATGCCACAGCAGACAGGAACCAGGAGGGGAAGGAACCTGCTTGTCTGAGCCAGAAGTCCTGTTAGCTTGGAGGACCCAGGCTTGTAAAAACAGCTCTGTAAAACCAGGACTAAGCCAAAGGTGAAGTGAGGGCTGAGTCACTCTGCCAAGGTGAGGCAGTAAGTGTGCCTGGAGGTTTCCATCTTAGGCTCAGAGTGCACTGAACAACAACACTTAGATTTCTAGGCCCAAATTATTCTCAATTAATTAAAGATACTGTCCTAGAATTCTCAGGTAATTAAAGACACTGCCCCAGAATAAAACCCATCTCAGGCTGCTGAGTTTGAAGGAGACCAGAGCCAGCATGTCCAAGGTGCACTGCAAATCCAACATGCCCAAGGTGTGAGAGCATGGCTGGAGCAGAGCTTCTGCTTTCCTCCCATTCCTAGTGTCAGTCTCTCCTTTGTGTGCCCAAGGCTTTGTGCCCAAAGCTTGTCTCCCCTTTATCAGGCTGTATTCCTCCCCTAACTGCATCCTCTGTGTTACCAGTGGAGATATGGAGGAGGGAAGTGGGGCAGAGGACAGTGATTCACTGCTGGGGCGTCTGGCTGAGTCAGAGACTGAGCTAAATCAGCTCAGCCTGTGGCTCCTGCGCCATTCCTGACGCTCTCCCCCTTTCCTGCTGGCTCAAATCCCTGTTGGGCATTGCCCCCACAACCAGAGGGGACCTCTCTTCCCAAGTTCCTCTTCCCAAGTTCCTCTTCCCAAGTTCTCCTGTCCGTGTTTTTTCGCCCCAGGCACGCTCTGAGATGGACAAGTACCTCTCCAGCGAGGTGCCCCCCATCCCGATGCTGCCGGACAAGAAGTACCGTCGGGAGAGCGCCTCGGTGGTGGACGAGTTCTTCTCCACGGAGAAGCCCAGCTCCACCCCCTACAGCGTCAACATCAACGTCATCCTGCCGGACACGACCCACCTGCGCACGGGGCTCTACCGGCCCCCCAAACCCATGGCACCCTTCCCACAGATCAAAACCGAGCCCGGCACCGGCTTCGCCCAGCCCTGCTCGTCGGCGCCCGGCCCCACGCAGACCCTGCCCGACTTCACCAGCGTGTTCAGCATGCCCCAGTCGGTGGCGGTCAACAACATCTTCATCAAGCAGGAGATGCCCTCGGAGGTCCCCTTGTCTGCCCCCCCCCAGCCCTCCCAGCTCTACCAGCTGCCCCTGGGCGGCAGCGCCGACGTCCCTGCCCTGACGTCCTCGGGCAGCACCACCACGGCCGTCAGCTGCCTCGGCGGGGTCACCATGGCCACGGGCAGCACCATGGCCAGCGTGGGCCACAGGCCCGTCCCGCCGGCGGGCCCGCTGAAGCAGTACCCACACGTGTCCCAGGGACAGGGCAGCTTCAACATCTCCGGGCAGTTCTACCCTGCCCCGGGGGTCACCCTGCCCCCCTCGCCCCCCAACTCGCAGCCGGGCAGCCCAGAGAACCAGCCCGAGCTCATCAACACCATCTCCCCCCCGCCGTCCTACGAGGCCACTTTTGGACTGAAGCTGGTCCAGTCATCCCAGGTGCCCCCGGTCCCCAATGGCGTCGGGACCCTCTCCCAGGGGCACATTGTCATGCAGCCCCCCAAGTACAACCGACGCAACAACCCTGAGCTGGAGAAGAGGAGGATCCACCACTGTGACTACCCAGGTGTGTGCAGGGCTTGGCTTCGGGGGGGTCTCTTGGCACCCTGAGGATGGCTGGGGGCTGCCTTGGGCCTCTTTTGTAATCTCAAATCCTCTTATCTGCGTGATGGAGGGAGCTGTGGAGTCCAGCGGAGAGCCCTGGGGAAGTGGGAAGGAATAGAAGAGGTTGATCCCACCTGCACTATCTGATGCCTGTTGTCTCCCTTTCCCTCTCCCCTTCACACTCTGGCAAAAGCAACCCCGGCTCTGAGGGGCAGAGAGCTCCTGCAAAACACAGGGATGCTCCTGGAAAGCTGCTCCTCAGCTGCCTGTTTTGCTCTGGTCTTGAATAACCCCATGTGGAATCACCTCTGCAGGTGAAAGCACACTGCCTTTCTCACTGACTCTTCCTTTCCTGCTCTCTCATAGAGGGTGGAAAACCAGGAAGTAATTTCCACAAGCAGCCTTGATGGTCTCTCTCTGTAGCCCCAATTCTTCCAAACAGGCAATGAAGTTGAGGGTCTTCATGTCATGTCCTTCCATGGCTTCGTGTCCTGCATCACGGTGGTGTGGAAGGGCATTTCAGTGGAATCATGGAATGGTTTGGATGAGAAGGACCTTAAAGATCACTCAATTCCACCCCTGCCATGGGCAGGGACGCTTTCACCAGCCCAGGTTGCTCCAACCTGGCCTTGGACACTTCCAGGGATGGGGCAGCCACAGCTTCTCTGGGCAACCTGTGCCAGGGCCTGCCCACCCTCATTGTATGAAACTTGTCCAGCCCAGAGCTGAAGCTGTTCCCTGTGCCTTCCCACTCCATGAGGTGTCCATCTAATGATGGACATCTGTGGTGCCTTGGCAGGTGGAGACCTTGCCGAGTTCCCTGGACCCACAGCTGCAAACTCATATTCACTCATCCCTTCCTTCATTCCCCATCCCTGGAAGTATTCAAGGCCAGGCTGGAGCAACCAGGTGTCCCTGCCTATGGCAGGGGGTGGAAGGTCCCTCCTGCCACAAACAGTTCTGGGATTCCATGACACACAGGAGGGAAGCAAATCCCAAGTGAGAGATCCCAGTTGAGAGCAGAGTGAGGGCTTGAAAATCCCCACTCCCAGGGCAGGGACACACACCTCCCACTTCCTGGGCTGATCTCCAGCTGCTGACCAGTAGTGGATTAGCAAACAGTTTTCCCAAGGGGGTGTTTGAACTGAGGAGAGTCATTTCCTACCTGCCTCCTGGGAGATTTATGTGCTCTTTCCGTGGCGTAGGAGCGTCTGGAGCAGGGCAGCGCAGAGGCTTTGCCTAGGCCAGGTCCTGTCTCCAGGATCTTACCCCTTCCCACCCTCTGGCAACCTGCAGAGCAGGGATTTTCTGAGCCAGCAGCTGCCCCCATGTTCTTGGGGTTGACAGCATGTGCTGCTTTTTACCTTCCATCTGAAGGGTGTAAGTGGAGCACTGCTCTGGGACAGACTCCTTGCTCTTGTCTCGCTGCTCTGAGGAAGAGTCTCATCCTGTAAGATGAAGTACCAAGGCAAAACTCGCCTGTTTTCAGCAGGATTTTGGTCTGTGGTGCAAAAAACCCCTCAGCAACCTGTGCTGAACAAACACTGGGTGTCTGAGGGGTGTGTACGTGCAGAGACAGAGCTGGGCTCCGGCTCAGCCTTCACTCTGAGGTTCAGCTGGAGGTGAGACCAGTCAGGACTTCTGGCAGGGGCAGCAGCTCTCACTGCCATGGGCTGTGTGAGGCAGGGAAGGGACACAGGGAGAATTCACACCTGGAACTGCAGGAATGGGGGAGATGTATTTGCAAAGCCCCATCCAGCACCTTCTAGGCCCTAAAGGGGCTCCAAGAGACTTGGAGAGGGATTTGGACAAAGGCCTGGAGGGACACGACAGGGGGAATGGCTTCAAACTGCCAGAGTTAGATGGGATGTTGGGGAGGAATTCTGGGCTGGGAGGGTGGGGAGGCCCTGGCACAGGTTGCCCAGAGAAGCTGTGGCTGCCCCATCCCTGGAAATGTCCAAGGCCAGGTTGGAACAATCTGGGCTAGTGGGAGGTGTCCCTGCCCATGGCAGGGGATGGGACTGGATGAGCTTTAAGGTCCCTTCCAATCCAAACCAGTCTGTGATTCCATGATTTCTCTTCCAAGTGTGAGGCTTCAGAGCACCAGCAGCAGAACTGAAGTGGGTCACCAACCCTTGTCCCCCCGAGCCAGGAGGGATAAGGTCTCCCACCACCTGAGCAGGATGGGACCAAGGGCTGATCTGGGGCAAGAGGCTTCTTTAGGCTGGGTGGAAACGCTGGAATGGAAAATGGGACCATTATGCAGGTCATAAAAATTCAAATTCATATTTTAGTCTGCTTGTCAAAACACAAAGCAGCAGGGCCAGGAAGGCAGCAGGAGGGGCTCTCCTGAGCTCTCTCTGACTGAAAAGAGGAACTGAGGCCTCGTTCTGACACACCTGCTGTTGAAACTTCTGCCCAGATCACAGTGTTTCAGTCAGACCCTTTCTTTGACTAAACCTGTTCTTGCTGAGCTTCTGCAAACACTTCCCACTGGCTTTATTCTGGATCCTGGAAGGCAAGTAGTGGCTCCACACTGTACCTGATGTTTCCTGCTGCCTGGGACATTTTTACCACGTCTGCTGGGGCTGGGACTGTTACAAAATACACCTTCCCTCCAGCCTTGCAAAGTGATATCAGTTATGTCTGGAATCCAGAGAGACAAAGGGCAGCACAAAGCCAGCAGCTAATGGGGGTGAATTGAGTGTTTTTATCCTGCCTGGAAGATCTGGTGGAGGAAGGGGAGGTTTGAATGTTTGTGCCTGATTCTTCCCCCCCTAATTCCCAGCACAATGGCCAGGGGTGTCAGGATTGTGTCCAAAGATGATGTAAAGGCCTGTCTGTCTGGGAGAACAAATGCTCTTTAGTTCCTGCTGAATCCAAGTAATACAGCCAGGCTTATTTGCATTACCCAGCTCTGTCCCTCACCTCAAATATCAGAGACTGTTTGAGCAAGGGCCCCTTTCTCATGAGGAAATTGTGGGTTTTTTTCCTGTTCTTGCAGGTTGCTCCAAAGTTTATACCAAGAGCTCCCACCTGAAGGCACATCAGAGGACTCACACAGGTAAGAGCAGCACAGCACCAGGAAATGCTGCCTGTGCTCCTTCCCTGTCCTGTTAATGGTGCTGAGAATGTCACTGAGCTGATTCATCTGGTCAGGATAAGGAGCACAGGGAGGTCTGCTGCTGTTAATGCTGAGAAAACTCCAGGGGTTGTGCTGGTTTACAGTGGATTGCCTTGCTTGCCTTCTGCTGGGATGGTCTGGAATTTAGGAGAACTCTGGGAGGCTCTCGAGTCAATGGTTTGGAAGAGATGCCTCCTAAACCCCCCAAAAAGAGGGCAGGGTTAGATGGGATGTTGGGAAGAGGGTGGGGAGGCCCTGGCACAGGTTTCCCTGAGAAGCTGTGGCTGCCCCATCCCTGGAAGTGCCCAAGGCCAGATTGGACAGGGCTTGGAGCAGCTTGGACTAGTGGAAGGTGTCCCTGCCCATGGCAGGGGGTGGGAATGGATGAGCTTTGAGGTCCCTTCCAACCCAACCCAGTCTGGGATTCTGGGATCCTCTGTCACTCTGAGCTCTTCCTTTGAGATCTCCCAGATCCTCCCCAGATCTGATCCTGCTTCTCCCACAGAAGGATTGTGTGAAGGCCTGTGTTGCCTGCACAGGACCTCTGAGGAGACAAGGGCTGTCTCTTTTTTGTCAGCACACCCGTGACTCCCAAGGAAGGGAGGGGACCCCTCGTGTCTCCCTGTTTACACTGACCACTCGTGTCCCCTCAGCAGCTGCCAATGGTGCATCACTCCCAACCCACCTCCAGAAGGGCTCCAAATCCATGCCCAGAAGGGCTGTGCCCCCCTTCCCAGGGCAGGGGTGCCCTTGCTGGTGCAAACAGAGTGCCCAGCCCAGAGCAGCTCCCACCACAGCCAGCTCCCCTCAGTGCCACTTGTGCATTCAAGCCCAGGTCCCCTCATTAAGGCATTTATTATACCTGAAACTTTATCAGATCCCCTGGTAGTCCAGGAACCATCAGTGCCCTCATAAATCTCTTTTATAGAAGGGCTGATCTTTACTGAAAGCAATTAAGCTGGCCCAGAGTTCACTTTTCTTTTTTTATGAACAACGACCAAACCCCATCCCGTGGCTGGGAATCGCTTCCTGCTCTTGGCTCCCTTCCCTTCTCCCCTTATCAGCCCCTTGAACACTCCAGCAAAGAATTTTTCTTTGTGTGTGTGAGGTACAATATTTTTTTGGCAGGATCTGGGTAGGAGTGGGCTGGAGACCAGCACAGAAAGGAACAGGAAGGATGTTGTCCCTGCTCCCAAAGCTGGGTGGTGACAGGCCTTTGTCACAGGGCTCTGCTTTAAAATGAAAACTCTCTTTCCCCCTTCACTTCAGAGCTCCATGACCCACCTGAGTCAGGCAGTATAAAGAAGTGTCCAGGAAAACCTGGGTGGCTTTTAAATCCAATCAAATGTGGTGGTTTTTCCAGGTTTCCCAGTAACTGGGCTGGAAAGCCTCGTGTGTTTGCCTCCTTCCACTTCACTTACTGGAAGAGGGAAGGGCATAGAGGTGAGGGAGGGTGTGACCTGAGTAGTTAAGAGAACTTTTGGTGGTGTGGAGCGAGTAAAAAGAAGGGAATCCAACCCAGGGCCAGACACAGGCAGGCTCAGGGTTTCTGCATCCAATATTTTAAGCCTCATGTTTTGCTTTTGAGGCTTTCACCTCACTGGAGCTGCAATGGCAGAACCCATCCCAACTCCTGCCCGATGCCATCTCAGCTCCATCACCTGAAGGGTTAATCATGTCCTTCCTCCCCATTCCCTGCCTGGGCTGAGAAGTACCTGATCTCTGAGATCTTTCCTTGTGGTTTTGCTGTGGGCTGGGCTGTGTCCCTCTCCTGGAGACACCATTCATTTCCTGGGAGCCATTGTGAGATTAAATATCTAACCCGTGGCTGCTCCCCCGCCTCCCCCCGGGGCCGGGAATGCCCGTTCGGGCCCTTTGTTTGAGCCTGCCCTGCCGTGCTGTCCTGGGAGATGGAGCCAGCTCCTGGGACAATGGTTTCCGTCCTGGAGATCAACCTGGTATTGTTTACAGCCGAAGGGCCTCGGTGTGGCTGACCCAGCCTGGTGACCTGGTGGGGACAATATCTGGGCTGCACTGGGTAGGCGAATCCCGCCTTTGTCTTGGCACGCTGAGGCACCCCCAGATCCCATAAAACACCCGGCCAACTGCTGGTAAACCCTCTGCAGAACCTGTATTTCCCTGAGCCATAAAAAATACACCTCCCTCCTCCCCGTGGTGCACCCTCCAGGGGTTTTTTGAGGAGCAGGATGTGGTCCTGGTGACCTGTCTCCTCCTGGTTTCACCACTGCGGGCAAGGCCCTGGAGATCTTGCTGTGGCCCAGTGTTTTCACTTTCCTGCCCAAATGTGGCTTCCCCTCCCCTGGAAGTTCTCAAGGCCAGCTTGGAATGAGCCTGGAGCAATGTGGCCTAGTGGAAGGTGCCCCTGCCCCTTTATAACTCCTGGAAGTGCTCAAGGCCAGCTTGGAATGAGCCTGGTCTAGTGGAAGGTGCCCCTGCCCCTTTATAACTCCTGGAAGTGCTCAAGGCCAGCTTGGAATGAGCCTGGTCTAGTGGAAGGGGCCCCCGCCCCTTTATAACTCCTGGAAGTGCTCAAGGCCAGCTTGGAATGAGCCTGGTCTAGTGGAAGGTGCCC